CAGCCATGCTGGCTGGGGGATTCTGGGAGTTGAAGTCCACTCATCTTAAAGTGGCCAAGTTTGGACAACACTGGTCTAGGGAGAGAAGAAGGCACTGGATACTACAGCAGCCTGCCCAGCCTAGCACTGGATCTTTTTTCCTAATTCGAGATGCCAGAGGTGGAGTGGAGGCATTCCCCATCCAAAGTATGTGTTCTGCCCCCGAGTTGCAGTCCCTCTCCTCTTCCTCCATAAAGCGTCACTTGCTGTGGTAGGCCAAGCCCAGCATATTATTGAGAACAAATTGTCCACTCCATCTCTATGGTTGCTGTTAGCCACTCTATACGTGGCCAGGTTGATGGCCGTGAACGAACAGCGCTTGTCGGATGAGTGACGCCTTCCTTTGTTTTCCTGTATGATCATAGGCTTGTGGTAGAAACGGACTCCTCAATTCCTCATTCATAGTAATTGGCCAGTCTTCCCCAACCTAGTGCCATTCCACAGCTGGTATATTCTTTGGCTGTGCTGGCTATGGAATTCTGGGAGTTGAAGTCCCAACACCAACATCAGGTTGGGGAAAGGTACAATAGACCTTCATGTGTTATTGTTTGTTTAGTGAATCGATGTCTGTTCTGTCTTTCTGCCAGCATTGGCCCTCAGGGTGGCTAACGGTAATGTCTGCAAACCCTGTTTGCTGTTGCGACTGGGCCTGGGCTGGGAAAGATGGAAAGGCGTTTGCGGTCCCTTCTCACCCAATTCTCTCTCCCACCCAGAGTGCTACCGGGCCTGTGGGCGCTGTTCAGGCCCTGAGGATTCCAGTTGTTTGCGCTGCAAAAGAGGCTGGACGCTGCATGACCGAAGATGCATCGGTGAGTCCGTGGCCCTGGAAAAATCTGGGGCGGCTGGGTAATGTTTGAAAAGGCAGAACTCCCTCACGGGGCTGTGTATTCTGGGTATGGTAATACATTTAATATCTAATTTGTATGGAAGACGGAACAGTATTATTGTATAATACTGTATAAGTAGTATTGTGTAATTTAACCACGGTGTATTTAACTCGAAGCATTGTGTATTTAACTTGAATTTTGCAATAGGCTCCGTTCTTAACTATGGGTCGTCCTTAAACAGGGCATTCTTAATCCAATGACTACCTGTAAATAATAATGAATATCATGTTTTTAACTGTTTTAATTGTACACTTGGACGTCTTTTAGAGTGGGTGGCCATAATAAATTGAATAAATAATAGTAATACTAATAACAGCAACAACAACAATAGTAATACTAATAACAGCAACAACAACATAGAAGCTCAAAGGAACTCTAAGATTCCTCCAGGGGAATTGAGAGAGAAGGAAGGAGGGAGAGAAGGTATTCTGTCTTGATCTCTCCATCTTTCCTACAGACATAGATGAATGTGGCACTGAGATGGCGCACTGTCGCAGCAACCAATTTTGTGTCAATACAGAAGGCTCCTATGAATGCTGGGGTAAGAGATTAAAGCTTCCAGAATGGACAGTCTGTTGCTGTGGACCACTGTGGTTCTCGAGGGAGCACATTCAAGAAGCAGGCATGCTTCTGTTGGAGAAATATGTCTTCGTCAGACTCTCTTCCTATTGACAATGCTGCCATTGGGAAGTCATGCTCTGAGCATAGCAACCCTTGTTTGTTTTGCTTTGGGGCATGAAACCTAGAATAAGCCATGGCTGTTGAAGTTCTTCATGGAAGAGAAGCATATGCAAAAATGGCATAATCTACCAGCTAGACAGCTTTGTTTTTCCCATCTCCACGTGTAGACATTCCTACACATTAGGCAGGTAGGTAGGTTCACAGACAGGGGTAAGCGTGTTGCTGTTTCAACCATAGTTTTTTTTTTAGCAAGAAACAGTAGATGGATTGATGCTTTCTACTAAGCTTAGAGGGTTTATGTGTGTGTGTGCCTTCGAGTCAGTTTTTGGCTCTTGGTGACTGCCTGGACTAGTCCCTGCAGTTTTCTTGGCAAGGTTACAGAAGTGGTTTGCCCTGGCCTGCTTCTCCTTCCTAGGGCTGAGAGAGAGGGGCTGCCCAAGGTCACCCAGCTGGCTTTGTGCCTAAGGCAGGACTAGAATTCCCGGTCTCCTGGTTTCTAGCCTGATGCCTTCACCACCATACCAAATTGGCTATGGTTTATACACAAAGAATTTTCTAATATTTTCCCTTTACCTTTGCATTCACCCAACCACCCAGCCTTACTTACCCACAGAGGGTCGACATCTGTGCCCAGCTATTCATTCTGCCCTCTGCATTCCCTTTAGACTGCGCCAAGGCTTGTATTGGCTGCATGGGTGCTGGGCCTTCTCGGTGCAAGAAATGCAACAAGGGCTATCGGCGAGATGGTGTCAAGTGCCTCGGTAAGTTCAACTATCAGCCCATTCTGTACTGGTGTTCCCATCCCTGATTAACTGAATTAGCCAGGAAAGCAGACAATGTTCTGAGTAGCCCATAGAAGTTCTCTAAAGCTGCAGTGCTTCCTTCCTGCCAGTATGCCTGTTCGAGTAGCAGTGACTCCTTTCCTTTTAACTTTGGGACTTTCTGAATCGTTACCCTCTCTTCTTCTCCTTGGACTCCTGAGGGTACATAAGAGTATGATGGGGCTGCAGTGGCCAGATCTATCCCAGAGAATATTCTAAATTGGCCATCAGTCAACAATTTGGCATCTGCAATTATTGCCAAGCAACACCTACAAATCCCCCAAATTGCATTAAAGTTAATATAATTAATAAATTAATTAAGTGGCTGAAGTCTCATGAAGTCACAGAATCCACGTGAATGCCAAAAATCTCACATAAAATGTCAGAAGATTTTGGTCTTTTCCCACAAGGTTTCTGACTGATATTACCAACTGAGTTCCCTGAAAACTTTAAAGATCCTGTGGGATTTTGCAGGATCTGTATGATTTCATTGGAGAGTTTATTTGCTGATGGTGTCACGGGGATGAAAGAGTTACTGATCGATCAGCTGGGAAATGGTGTCACCTTAGTTTTTATCCTTTGGCAGGTATGCAGCCCAGCCAAAGAAGGCTCAGGAATAAGAGAGTTGCAGGAAAGGTTGTAGGAAAGTTGTGGAGCTGTGGAGAGAAGATCTCAAGGAGTGAACCAAATACCTAGAGTTAAATAAAGAGGCTGATCAGAGTTGGCTGTCAGTAGATTGTCATGGCTTTTCAGCATTTAGATATACTGCATCTTTTCTCCAATAGTAAATCCTCAGTGTAATGGAAGAAGTGGTATCTGGCCAAGTGTGTGTAAGATGTAGCTAATGTACATAAAATATACAAACTTATCTGGACTGATTTGCTGGGCAGCAGGCTTTTTCCCTTGTTTGGAGCAAGGTCCACATTTAGATTTGTCCTTGACATCTGAAATCTGCTGAATTAACGTCTGGAAAAGCAAGGTTTTATTGTGTTAGAAATTGTGGGGGCAGCAGTTGGGCAGGATGACACTGCACTATCATGCAGTAGAAAGCTCAGAAACCGCAGCTGCTATGTTTGTGGATGAAAGTGGGAGATACAAAATGGATGAATTTAGCCCATGTGTTTATGATTCTGTGACCTTATTGGCTCCCCTTCCCTGCCAGATGTGGATGAATGTGCTGGTGAAGTGGAGGAACCTGTGTGTACGGGAGCCAACGAGGTCTGTGAGAACACAGATGGCAGCTATCGCTGCGTTTGTGCTGAGGGACATCTACGCAGAGAGGGGATCTGTGTGGAAGACAAGCCCCCAGGTAAATGTAACAGGTGCACCCTTGACAGCTCACAGGTTCTTCCTCTGGGGTAGCTGTAGTGCTGTCTGGAGCCGGCCCTGGATCCGTCGTCTTTGTTGTTCTATGGCTCCCCGTGTTCTGCAGGCACTTCCTGACAAACTGGGCCTTTCAGGAAAGGTTAGGGTCAATAAGTGAGTTAAGCATAGTCATCCCAATTATGGAGTTATATTCTGAATTAGATACATTAGATTTATTTTGGAATAAATAAATTGTGGAATTACTATTTTCCTTACTACTTAAATATATTTCTGAATCAAACTGAGGCTCAGTTTTCACAGACTGGGCAGTGGAAGGGCCATCAGGGACAACCTAGACAATCCAACTGCTCCAGAGGCCAGACTGCCCTTGCCACTGCTGATGGCCTCTCCGTTGTCCTGCAGATGCTCCCGAGAAAGGATTCTTTGACGACATTACAGACGACGAGGTGGTTGTGCTGCAGCAGATGTTCTTCGGAGCTATAATCTGTGCGCTGGCCACCTTGGCTGCCAAAGGAGACATGGTCTTCACTGCCATTTTCATAGGTGCTGTGGCTGCAATGGCTGGCTACTGGATGTCAGAGCGCAGCGACCGTGTTCTTGATGGCTTCATCAAAGGGAGATAGGGCTTAGGCAAGGAACACTCCCTCCTGCTTCCTGCCCCAGAGAGCCAGCCGGGGAGCAGGAGCACCTTGACCCTTACCCCTGTTCCCTTACCTTAGCAGGTTTGAAATCTAGAAGGAAAGAGGTGGAAAAGCCAGCCTGCGTCCCCACCTGGGCTAAAGGAGGCCTTGACTTTCTGAACGTATGGTAGAGGGACCAGTGGGAGCCAAGAAATCATGTGTGCTCTGCAGGCCTATCATTGACCGAGAGGTCCTGACAGGAATTGGAAGGGACTGAGTACTCCTTAGGACCTGGAAGGTTCCAGAAGAACAAGCCCCTATTGCTGTCTAACGGGCCTGCTCTCCATGCATGTTGGATGATCTGGAAGAGTTCATCCCAATAAGCTGTGATCTCTCCCACTTGGGGCTGCCAAGGCTAACTGGGGAAAAGCTCAGCTCTTTGGGTTTGTGCTGGTACGGGGTGGTTCCCTGCTGGCTTTCTGAGAGTCTGTCCTTTGGCCAAGAGCTGACCTACACGTTGCATTGAAGGAAGTGAGAAACAGTGGTGATATATTTTTGGAGGGTTCCGCTTCAGGTAGGAGTCAGTGTTTTGGCTGATCCCTGACCTCAAAATCATCCTCTATTGAATAAATCAGTATCATCAGAGCATAAGGTAAATTTAATAAATAATAATATATACACTTATTCTTGTGGTCAGAAGTGGTACATTCTCTGTGTAATGCATAACCTGCTCGGGTGCTGCTACTGGCAGCTTGGAAAGCAAAGGAGATTGGCCTGCATGTCCACTTTTTTGCTTTGCAACTCTGTATCTCAGGAAAATAAATGTCTGTGTCTATATGGTTCTTACTGTTGGGCTCTCACTCTCTCTTTCACATGCCAGTGTTTTCTGTTTGACCAGAAGGGACTGACTTCAAAACTTGCTATTCCACTTCAACCTTAAAAGACTTTAGAGAGGACTTCAAGAAATCACTGAGAAATCTCTCCCTCTCCCTCTCTGTTTTCCACAACCCCGTCTCCTTTCTCCAGTCTTTATGGGTGTTTTCTCATGCACAAAAGTTTGATCGCTGGACTATCGGACAGGAACAAGTGGAATTTCAACTAAGAAAGCCTCATTCCTCTCCCTGGCTTTGCTTGTTTGCTTGTTTGAGCTTGTAGGTCACCCACTTCCCTAATGGCTCTAGGTGGCTTACAGAAATAAAAGTAAAATGGCTAAAAAACAGCTAAAACAAAACCATAGAATGTTATTTTGAAACAAGTATTTTTTAACCATTGTTAAGAATTGGGACAATTAAAAGGCTTGAATGAACAAGTATTTTTGCTACGGTAAGAAGTCCCTCCTAAACTGTAATACAGAGGGGACTTCCTTCAATTTAAATTGTGGTTTGTTCCACAACATGGCCCCTTCCACAGAGAAAGCAGAAGTAACCCTAGATATCAAATGTATCCACAGCAGGCTCATTGAAGATGCTCCATTGTTGATCTAAGCGGGCGGGTGGACTGTATTTGAGTAAGCAACTAATGGCATTTCAACATGAGTTACTTGGGACTTTGGGAGGTCTGCTGCAATTTCTGGACTATTTTCAAGGGCCACCACACCAAGAGACCATAAAATAATTTAACCTTGAAGTTGCCAGCGTATAGGTGACCAAAGCTGGGTCTCTCTCTCTTCCAGATTGATCAGCTAAAGCTGATAAAAGACCTTCCTTGCCATTAATGTTATCTGGCTGTCCAGCATCAGTGCTGGATCTAGGAGAACCCCCAGAGTGCATACCTTAAGGAAGTGTGCAACCCCCTCCAGAAGATATGTTTCTCCTGATTCCTGAAATCTAGCCTCTGGAATCAGTAATAACTGCATCTTGTTCATGCTAAGTTTCAGATCTAGTTTACAGCAGATATGGATGGATGGATGGATGGATGGATGGATAGATGATAGATAGATAGATAGATAGATAGATAGATAGATAGATAGATAGATAGATAGAAATTGCAATCAAAGGTTCATTGGTCAGACAATGTTGGACTAGACCATTAATAAGAAATAGCTATTTTACTTTGCTTCTATGTACATAATCACCTATAGGAAGATCTATAAATGTTAGAGGGTAGAAAATTCATGTTGATTTATAAATTTAATGCAACTCTTCAAAACCCTTAAGCTTTCTGGGAGAATTATTAAAAATCCTAATCAGATTGTTTCACTGAAAGTCTTTTATATGTAAATGGCTACATAATCACTTGAGACTTCTGTAGGTTTTTTTGGTTCCTTTTTTTAAAATCATGATCCAGTTGCACAGTCATGTTTCTAGCCATTTCTGTCCACCCCCACCCCCACCCCCACCAATCCACTTCATGACAGCTCCGAAGGGTTGATGCTCCTGATATTTTTGGCTGGTGATGCAACTTGATCCTCGACAATTGACTCTTTGAATTGCAAATCAGATGCAACCCTTAACAGTTTACTAAGGAAGCTAGATTGTACAAAGCTTCTCTTAAAATGCAGCAGTGCAAACACCAAGAAATTGTGCCACTTCAGCTGTAGTTGATTCTTTGCCCACCCTCATTTTTGCCTTTATTATTAGTAGATTAAGCCAGTGCAGCTTGTGTTGGCTTTCATGCAGGACAGTGTACAGTATATTTTAAAATAAATAAAAATTCCATCCTGACACCCTGTATTGGTCTACAAATGATATAGATTTGCAATTATTGCTTTTATCTGCACATTTTACTACACTTAAGTAGGCTGCAGGAAAGAACTAATCTGGGCATAGAAGTCCTAAATTCATCTTGATTCTTTAGCAAATACTTTTATAAAAAGGGGGTAATTGTTCTTGACTTTGTATATGAGGTCATACCACCACAAACAGGTCTTCTGCTGAAAAGGCTTCCATGCTGGAAAGTTTGTAGGAAGCATTTTAAAAGATTCTGGTAATCAGTGTTGTTTGGTGCTGTAATTCAAAAGTCCTGGGTTCAACATCTGGCACCAGCAGCTAAAATGTCTCTGGTAGCAGGATCTCTGGAGACCTACCATCCATCAGTACAGAAATAACACTGTACTTGCTAGACGCACTGACTTACTCAGCCTAAGATGGGGTCATAAACATTTACTCCTGTTCAACTGTTTTTTTACGTAGCATGGCAAGAACACTGCAGCAATCTTAACTGCTGCATGAATCTGGCCTTTTGCTGACGAAAGGGCTCTCCCCGATGTCAGTATTAGATAAGGTGGTACTGCTGGTTGGGGTATATATTTAAAAAGAAGGAAAGAACAAATCAGCCTTTCATGGAAGCAATATAATGAGCAATCTTGGCAGTGTACAATGGAGCAGAGCACACATCCTGGACTCTCCCCTCCTTTGCAGTCCCTGAGTGCTTGGGAGAGTTAAGGAACCCCTGGAGAAAATTGGGAGGAGGTGAATTGGCAAAGGTCTCCTACCCTTCCTTTGCCAGGGGTGCTGAGCAGATTAGGGACTGCTCCTGCCAGAAAGGAAAACCAACCAACCAACCCCCTTCCAACCCATTGTTTTAGGTGGCAAGGAAGAAGTAAAGTTTCAGTCTTATGTTCCAGTTCATAGGTACATATAACTGTTTTTAAGGATTGTAAGATAATAAATCCCCACCAAGTCCTGCTGTGCTGCCTCATTGTGGCAGGGAGTGTTCTTGGGAGGGATGAGCAAAGAACGTCGGGAGTGTATGCCCAGAGTATCTACTCCCAGCTGGGTCGCCCAAGGCATGAAGGTCATCCCAGCTGCCCAGCTAAAGCAAGCGGCAGATGACCACTTTAGCGGCAATGGCAAAGGCATCAATTCATATTGTGCGGGAGAAGATAATGGTGAACCGCTCCTGTATCTTTACCAAGAAAACCACAGAAGATATAAAATAGTACAATATAGTGCCAGATGATGGGCCCCTCAGGTCGGATGGCACTCAGCATGCTACCGAGGAAGGGCTGAGGATCTTTCGGAGTGCTAATGGTGTTTATGATGCGGCTACATTAAAGCCTTCGGGACATCTAGTTGCTGATGTTG